ATATTTAAGGGGTTCTTCCTCTCTTTACATGAATAAGGTATAAGAAGGGATTGTGCCCTGTATAAATAAATGGTCCTCCACCCAATTTTGAACTTCAGGGAATTTTCTTCACTTAATGCCACGTTTCTTCTCAGGGCAGAAACCCCATCTCTGAAATCCAGACTGGGCTTTTCCCTCAAGGTAAGAGCACCAAAAGGGGCAGCACAATTGTGCTGAGAGCCTACAAGGCAACGGTTTCTCCACAGACCATTATAATCAACTGCCTACAAAGAGCTTCCTTTGGCTGTGCCCTGGTGTGTTCAGTACAGAACTCAACATCTTCTCAAATTCCTCCACACCCCCCCAGTGAGTTCTTCTGTGTCCTAGAATGAGTGATTCCCAAACACTGGTCCACAGACTGACTTCAAGAGTATCATCTGGGACAACTTATTAAAAACAGACCCTTACCTTCCACTGCGACCTTTTGAATAAGATGTCTTAGGCTAAAGCCCAGGAATCTGAATTTTTGACAAGCATCTCAGGTGATTCTAATATGCTCCCAGATTTGGGAAGCACTGCTCTTTATGGCCAAATGGCACCACCAGGTTGTTGAAGCCCAAAACTGGGTGTCATCATATACAGCAGGTCTAAAAGGGGAAATACTCAAAGAGAAGTGGAGCAGACTACTTATCCAGTTTAGGATGCAAAAAATTGCCATCAGCATGTCTAGGCCGTGTTGCCTCCCCTTTGTCTCCTTTGATAGCAATTTTATGGCTCTTAGATGTTTGGCTTTTCCTTTTCTAGGAAGAGAACCATCTATGGGGTACTCCACAGTCTCAAATTTTCCTTTGAGAGGACTAGTAGTGGTATCACTGGGATTTTTTTTTTTAATCTTCTCCATAACTGGTCTTTTGCATTAGTGTGAGACTTCTAAAGGTTCATAATAAAGCCCCACAGACCCCTGGGAACAAATATCACTACTAACCAGTCCCCAGAACAAACCTCTCTGTTGAAGTTGAAGACCTCCTGACTTCTGAAGACTAATTTACGTGCTCCATCGAGGGTGTCCCTCATGCCATAGGACATGATATAATTGCTTTTGTATGATGTTTCTCTCAGCTAGATTTTAGGCCTCCTGAACTTAGCTGTACCACCCAGATTCCTGGATAGACAGCATGGTGTCACGGATCTGGTAGATCATAGAGAATCTGCTTCGACTTCTGATGTTCAAGCCAGGATGGGGATTCTTTCTCATGAATGTTTTCAAGTGGATTCTTGCAGAAAGGCTCAATTCCATCAGAAAGGAGTAGGAAGAAAAGGCATCCCAAAGACAGGGATGGTTTAATTGCCTAGTGTGATCCTTCAGAGCAGGAATCCAGCCTCAGCTGGTAGGCTCCTGGCCTTGCCCTCTTCTTTGGCCTCACTCTGATGGCATTACCATATGGGCCAAGAGATAGCCTCCACCCTGGGCCAGTCAAAGGTAAGCCTGATGGCATGGACATTAAGGGCACCCAGAGCCAAAGTCTAGGCAGACACAAATCAGTTATAGAAATACACACATTTATGCAAACATTATCACAAAATCTAATGTATTCTAGAAGATACTGGTGCATACTACCTCAAAGGCTATTTTTTTTTTTTTAACAAAAACCACCCTGATAGCATTTCAAGGACTTTGGACAGATTTTTTTCTCCCTGGAACTGGGGATTGAACACAGGACCTCATGCATGCTAGGCAAGTGCTCCACCACCGAGCTTCACCCCAGCCCTTTAAGGACTTTGAGAAGATGAGCATTTCCTCATTATGAAGCATCACAAAGTATCTAGATGGAAGTACAAACACTGGCCACAGAGTTTCACTAAGGTTTTTTAAACCCAAAGTAGGCATTTCCCTATTGAAACCTTTAAAAAGGGGTAATGAGATTTTTATCAGGTTGAGTTATACCTGGGATCAAATAAGCTTTTGAGCTTGACTGTTTTCCTATAGAGTCTGCCATTTCTTGGTAACCCATGTTCAAGATCCAAGTAACCAACTCATAAGCAAACTTCTGAGTCAAGGACTTTCTTTTTTTTAAGTTGTAAAATGCTTTCTCCTCTGGATATTTTCACCATTGCAAAAAGATTTCTTATAAGTATCCAACAAAGAGCAAACAGAATAAATGAACAATATTTGAAGACTGGGTACAAAATTGACTTCTAATAATTTCAGATGAGTAACTCAGGATAAGAATACACTTTTCTGGTAATTCTTTAAAAGAGACTAAATTTGCATCTACATAGAAGGGTTTAAGTAGGACCTGGGTAAAAAGGATACCCTCTACCCTCAAGGTTCTCAAGTTCAGCCAGATCAGCTTTCTGCCCTTCTTAGAAGAGACAAGCTCCTGGGCATTTATTTCCGCAGGTGTCTCTCCCAGGCCTTCAGGCTGTCTGAGCTCCTGATGTAATATCCCACACACACATCCAGACCCCCAGCAACTTAGTGAAACCTCCAGATACTTTGTGATGCTTCATAATGAGGAAATGCTCATCTTCCCAAAGTCCTTGAAGGGCTGGGGTGAAGCTCAGTGGTGGAGCACTTGCCTAGCATGCATGAGGCCCTGTGTTCATTCTCCAGTCCCAGAGGGAAAAAAATAAAAATAAAAACTGTCCAAAGTCCTTGAAATGCTATCAGGGTGGTGCAGGGGCAGGGGAGCTATCTGTTGCCAAGAGGCTCTATTCCTGTAGCATTAAAGAGGTTTATAAGGTATTTTCAAAGTAGCATTCATTTGTGCAAACAATTTAAGAAGGCAGATGTGGCAGGAGTATATTGAATTTTCATTGTGCTCTCTTAATTTACAATCCTATTATAATTATTAGAAATGTGAAATTGTAATGTATAATTTATCCATCAGCAGCATATGGGTTTTGAATTAGTGGAGCTTATGTGGTTCCTTTAAGTCATCTCAGATCAGAATAGTGCGGCTCAGTTATATTTTATTACTGAAGCAATATATTTATTAGCAATAATACTTACAACAAAAATCAGGAACTATAGTTCCCTATAATAGAAAGACAGCTCAGAGACAAAACAGTTCCTAGAATTGAGAAGACCCAACTCAAATCCCCACTCTTCCTACCTCTCCTCTATTCTGGGCAGATGGGCATAATCCCCTGGTCTAAATCTCAAAATTACCAAGCCTGAAGCTTAGGAATGTCCCACTCTTATTTCCCTTAGGTTTTGTGGCTGTTGTTCCTGTTTTTTTTTTTTTCAATATTAATATATGAAAGTTGGGCATGGTGGTACATAGTTGTAATCCTAGTGAACTAAAAGGCTGAGACAGGAGGATTGCAAATTTGAGGTCAGCTTCAGCAACTTAGTGAGAGCTCCAGCAACTTAGTGTCTCAAAAATTAAAAAGGGTTGGGGATGGAGCTCACACTGGGAGAGTATCCCTGGGTTCAATCCCCAGGATTGCAAAAAATAATAATAATAGTAATAATAACCTAGTAGCCAAAAGAATAAATGCAGGGCTGGGGCTTGAACTAAAGTCTTGTCTAAATAAGACAAACATTGATCTTACACACCCAGCCCTCTCCAAATGTTTTTTTTGGGGGGAGGGAGGGCGGTACCAGGATCCCTATAACATGTCCCCTGTGACATGCCATGTAGGTACTTTGGGGTGACCTAAGGGTAAGCAGGGCTGGTGGAGAATAGACCCTGATCCTCTCCTGCACCATCATGTAGAAGGCCATCTATCCTGTACAGGATGGAGGACACTGGCCACAGAGGTTTCACTAAATTTTTTTAAACCCAAAGTAGGCATTTCCCTACTGAAATGTTTAAAAAGGGGTAATGAGATTTTTATCAAATTGAGTTACACCTAGAATCACATAAGCTCATCTCCTCCTCCTGGCTGAGCACCTGCTGCCCCATCCCTCCCTTTGTTCCTGGAGGGGAGGAACCAGGAAAACCTTGTGTGGTCCTATGGTATGGCACAGGGTGCCAACAAGGAAACGCTGGCCGATCTTATCCTCCAGAGGGACAGATGCAGGCACTGAAGGGAATGGGTGAGAGGTGGTTCTACGGCTGGTCCCCCGAAGGTGGTGATGACAGTGATCTGAATGTGACGATTTCCATGGTGGATGTATAATTATGCAGAATGTAAGTGGTCTTATGGAAACACTGACTTGTTTAGGGTAGAATCTGGCTCCTTACTCACCTGGAGTCATTAAGTCTGATATTATGATATTCTCTGTTTACTCCAGAGTAGCCCAGGACAAGCTGCTTAATGCCTCTGAGCCTGGGTACCTCATCTGCAAATTGGTGTTCATAAGCTCTGAATTATTGTATGGAGTGAATCACATGACTCATAGGTGGCTGGTGGAGTGCCTGGCACAGGCTCTCTCCAACAATTGGTGGCTACTATTACTATTTACAACAGAATTGCCAAAATGCAAATGAGAGCAACAAATTTTTCTTACATGTCTTATCTCAACACATTTCTGATGATAGAGGTGATGTCAAAGCATATTCTGAGTCCTCAATTCCCACCTGCAGAGCTTGACCCAAAGTTCTAAACATGGTATGTGCCATGAATTGAATATGGCTTGTTCCCTCTGAAACTCTTTTTGAAATTGAATCTTCATTAAGACATATTAAGAGTTGGGACCAGAAGGGACCTTTAAGAGGTGATTGGGTCTTTGCCTTTGTGAAAGGATTAACCCATTCCTGTGATTAATGGATTCATGGGTTAATGGGTCATCTTGAGAGTAGATCTGCTATCACAGTCAGTTTGGCTAGGTCTCCTGTGCACTCCCTTTCTCTGGCCATGTGATCCCTTAGCTACCTTGGGACCCCGCCAGCAAGAAGACCGTCAGCAGATGCAGCCCCTTGACCTTGGACCAGAACTCTGAGTCAAAATAAACCTTCTTTCTATATAACCTCCCAAGTCTGTGGGATGGTTTTGGTAGCAACAGGAAATGGACTAAGATAATAGGTGTTGGGAAGAACTTAAGTTGAAATGGCCTGAATGAGCACTCTTACCGGATCATTCTGTTCTTTCAGGGGTATTTCAGACCCAGGTTCTCCCTCGAGGCTGACAGAATCGACACATTCTGCTAGTGTGTCCTCGGTCACTTCTCCATTAAGGGAGGTCTCCGTGGTATCTGCATCTTTGGGCTGTTGTGGGTGCCCAGCAGCAGCAGTCTCTGCGACCTGATCAGCTGCATCCTCACGCACGTCTCCTCTGGGCTCCCCTGGTGCCAGCTTGTTTGAGACTGTAGCTGAGTCACTGTGCACTTCCACATCCTCAGGTAAAGAATCACTACTGGAAATCTTCGTAATTTCTTCTCTGTCTGTAGTGGCTACGGTGTCACTGGCATCATCAGACATTTTAATATCTGTCAACACAATTACCAACAAACATTTTATGCTTTGATCTGAATTGTTAAGCTCTCATCCAAAGCCCTGAAAATCCAATTAAATCTGGGGTAAACTTTTTTCTACTGATAAATGGCTTTATGGAATCTTGTAGCAAGCTGATGACACTCAGTTCCTAATCCCTGAACCTGTGCACGTTGCCTTACATGGTAAAAGGAATCTGCAGATGTGATTAGTTAAGGATCATGAGATGGGGAGATCATCTTGGTTTACCAGAATGGGCCCTAAGTGTTGCCACAAATGTCCTCAACATAGGGAGGCTGGACTACAAAGAGAAGGGGCAATGACAGGAGCAGAGATTCAAGTGATACATTTTGAAAATGAAGGAAGGAGCCACACACCAAGCAACAAGGGAAGCCACTAGAAGCTGAAGAAGACAAGGAAGCCATTCTTCCCTCCACGACTCCATGGAACCAGCCCTGCTGGCACCATGATTTGAGTCAGAAGAAACTAATTTCAGACTTCTGACCTCTAGAACAGCAAGAGAACAAACCTGTGTTGGTACAAGCCACTAAATTTGTTGCAATTTGATATAGCAGCAATAGAAAACTAATATATAGCCCTATCTTTAAACCTGTAAGGATTTCTTACTTGGCATGAAGAGATAAGCATATGGAAACTAAGCATATTGTGCATAAAATTATTTGTTTAATCTGACTTTGGTAAAAAACAATGAGAGCAGCGTAGAAAATATTTGGGAACTTATAAGAATATATTTGTCATATAGCTTTGCAATGTCATCAGAGATTAACAAGAAAGAGACATACATACACATAAATGTACACTGCTGGGGCCATTGTTGGGGAAGGTTTGGACTCTCACTGGACAGTAGTTCAGTCAGGGAAACACAAGGATGAAAGGGAAAGGGATTTGTGATATGAAGTCAAATAAGGAATGCAGGCTATCATGTGGAGAGCTCTTTTGGAAAGTTTTGAATTCGTGTAGGATGGTAGGACTCTCCTCTTATCCCTACTAAGAAAGTTCATGTAGAACTTTCCATGACAACATGATTTCTTTGTGCATGCACTGTCCAATGTGGCAATTAACAAGAGGCTACTGAGCACTTGAAATGTGGCTAGTGCAGTAGAGGAGCTAAAATTTTCATTTTATTTAATTTTTCAATCATTGAACTTTAAATTTACATAGGCACACACAGCTACTTTCTAAGGTAGCGTAGCTTGAGAAGGTTGGTGCAGGACCATCATTTGCTTAGGCAAGAATAAAGACATGGTGTTTTTATTGCATTTGAAGCCAATCTCAGGCAAATCATTGGGCGTTTTTGTTGACTTCAGTGTTTACCAACTGGTCAGATCTCAAGTGGCTACTAAACTCACACATGTGAGAAGCCATATAACGCACTGGCCACATCGTGTGCAGGTTTACTCACAGGGCTCTGCTTCCCTCCTGTTCCTCAAATAGTCACCCCATGAGTCTGTCTCATCCTTTCTATTGCGCCTTCTTCCTGGGTGGGTCACATCTCTGACAGTTTTCATGCACCATTTCTCTGTGGTGGCTCTCAATTATATCTTCTTCCTCCATTCCATAGAGATGGAAAGATTTGTGAAGGGGATGAATGGAGGGGGATGAGGCGTGACCGCCAACAGGTATGAAGTCTCTCTTGGGGTTGATGAAATGTTCTAAAATTAGATGGTGGTAATGGCTGTACAATTATGTACACATAATAAAAACCACTGAGCTGAATACTTTTATATGGGTGAACTTTGGAGTATATAAATTATATCTCAACAATGCTTCTATTTAAATAAAAACTCTACCTCCAGACAAGTATTTCTAATGGCCGGCTGGACATCTCTTTCTGCCTAGGGAAACCTACTGTCTTACTCTTAATTCTAGATCTTCTTGTCTTTTGTATTTCCCTTAACAACACCTAGATTTCCCCCAACAATCCAGACTTAAAATCTCAACACTGTCACTGATTAAACCTTCGCCTTCTCAAGAATATATAATATCAATAACTAACATTTACCAAGTACCTACTATAGCCAGGACATTTAAATGTATTTTCTCCTGCAAGTAAGATATGATGAGCTCCATTTTACAGATGAAGAAAATGAGGCTAGATGCCATACTTGTACAAGATGAATTTCAAGTTTGAACCCACATCTGATTTTAAGAGTGAATCCATCAGAGTCCTATCCTCAGTACTGCCTGATCCTTCCCTGACTTTCAACCAATGGCATACACACACACACACACACACACACACACACTCATGTACATGTCTGTAGGTATAGTGTGTGTATATGTTACCCAGTTAAGGCCCAGATAAAACAACTGCCTCCTCCATTCTTTGTTCCTCCAAGTTGGATTGAATTTTTCTTTTTTTGGAACCTCTAGCATGCTTTGTGTCTACCCCACCTTTAATCAAGTCCTCTCTGATTAAAAGTTGCTTGTGGTGTTCTTTTTTCCTATTATATTGTAACTTCTATGAAGTCAGGGTCTTCCTTGTTTTGTTTTCATATTTTACATAGTACTTAAACACTTTTTTTTGCTTATAGTGGGAATCTCAACAAATACGACTGTTGAGTTATATTAATATTCGTGTCAAGATACTCGGAGGCTCTCTTACATCTGATGGTTCCAAATGATTCTACAATTCCACACTGTCTTACTTTTTTGTTCCTTTACCTCACAGTTAACTGAGAGTGTTCTCAGCTTGCTGTCATTTTAACAAATTCCTGAGATAACAGACTTATAAAGAGGAAAGATTGATTCTGGTTCATAGTTTGGAGTTTTCAGTCCATGATTTGTTAGCCCTGTTGCTCTTGGGCTCATGGTGAGGTCCTGCGTGATGACAGGAGCACACGGTAGAGCAAAACCAGAAATACCTGCCAGATCCTGAGTTAAGAGACAAGACTCCTGCATATAAACCTCCAGGTAGGAAAGGCAAGGGATGCTTACTCCCTCCAGCTGAAATAACAAGTCTAAAGTATGCAAGGATGGCCATGGGTTATCAAGGAATCTGCTCAAAGTCTAGTTGAAACAGTGGAGTGATACACACCCACTGGGCAGATAAGGGGTGCAACTGAGGTTTCTGGAGCAAATGGAACTAAATGGAGGCTGGCAGTGGGGTGGGGATTTGAAAAGTTGTCATTTGGAAGCTGAGAGCATCTTTGTGAAAACCTCTTTCTGAGTGAGGAACGGCCTAGGACAGGGGATAGGAAATCCAGAACCTAACTGCCAAATCTTGCCTTCTGCCTGCTTTAGAAATGAAATTTTATTGAACAGAGATGTGCCCTTTTGTTCAATAGTTAGGGCTTCTCCAGGACTACAGTAGCCGAGGTGGGGGGGGGGGCGGTCCATCAAAGACCCTAAGGCCTGCGAAGCCACAAAGCCTAAATATTTTCTCTGGCCTGTTATAGAATATGTTCGCTGGCCCCTGGCCCAGGGGATTACCTGCCTGATACAGAGTAAAGATTTCTCTGTCTTAATCTGTCCTATCCTCACCTAGGTTCTAGGGCCATGACCTTAAGAACCCCATGAATAAATGGCACTTTGACATCCACCACTTTTATTTCCTTTTTCTTCTGTAGTTGGCCATAGACATTATCTGATATTGTTTTCTTTGTAAAGTGATATTTTTTATTTATTCACTTATCCTATTGGGGATTGAACCCAGAACCATTCTACCACTTTGAGACAGGGACTTGTTAAATTGCCCAGGCTGGCCTTTAACTTGCAAACCTCCTGCCTCAGCCTCCTGAGCTGCTGGGATTACAGGAGTGGGCCATCATGCATACCGTAATAATATGAACTATTAAGAAACTCCAATCTATTTCACTTTTCTAAGAGAATAAACCTGGCTGATAAACATTCATGGGCAAATAAACACCATAATGACACTTTGATGTACATGTTTTGTCCTAATGCATTGCCATACTGTTCCTAATGTATTCTAAAATACTTCAGCTATACCATGTGACATAGTGCAAGTTAATTAGTTCTAATTTACACCCTAAGGGTGTCTGGTTAACATGGAAAGTGCTCTATTCAGGAATATACTCTTGAGAGGCCTTTAGTGAGCATTTCAAAATCTATAATTGGGTGTCCACCTCTGGAGAGGGTTCAATACTGTCCTTTCTGATTGGTGCTCCAGGGTATGCTAATTAGCACAACAGTCTTAGAAATCTCTCTCTCTCTCTCTTTTTTTTTTTTCCACTTACGAAATGGAAAGTGCTTAAGATATATGGATCAGTGAAAAACAATGTACTGGCCCCTCTGCCCTTCTGTGACCAGAGCATACAATTATACTAAGTCCAGTAGCCTGTGGCCCTTTGGAATAGGGTTTTTCGGGTGCTTCTAGCTGACCACAGAACTCAAGAGCCTGAAACTGAGTAAAATGTTGTCTAAGTCCGTCCTCTAGACAGAGGCCTAAAAGACACTGAGCTATGACTTCAAGCTAACAAGAACAGGCTGTATAACTAAGTCTGGTTGCTAATATACACATGAATACAGAACCTCCCCGTTAGGGAGATGGAAGCCATGTTCCTGGTCTTGATGTTAAGAGGACTCAACCCATGGAACTGATAGCCCTCGCCTACCTCTGATGACCAACGTGTACATCTCAGAAAGACCAGATTTTTACACGTGTTTAATAGGGATAGTCACCATGAGATCAGCCCTATTTGGACTTCTAACTGCGTGTATTTCTAATTTGTATTTGCTTCTACCTGTATGGTTGTAATTTTCCCTAAACCAAAACCAGAAAAAAAAAAGTGAGAAAGAAGCAAATGCTCTTTTAAAATGTATTTGTTCTGAGAGAACTTTATTGACTCTGGATGCTATTGTGATGGGGAAAATGTAATCATTTTTAAGACTGTGGCCTTCTAAGACACCACTAGAAATTGTGTGCTGTAAGTGCACAGCTGTATTCTGAGCATGGACTGGGAGAGTCCATCAGGACTTCAGTGGTGACACTGGACATTTTGGGGGATGACCCTCATCTCTGTCTCGATGCCCTATAAAGTACAGTCAGAAATCTTTCCTGATTTCTGGTTTGGAACATTCGCTCTGCAGCCGTGTCCGTGGCTTTAATGCTAGGGAGACTCAACCCACAGGAACAAGGAGGCTGCTTCAGGAAACTCCAAGGAGATGAAGCGTGGGGTACAAAGAAGCCTTTGTGTGCTGGGAATAAGTTAGTTTATCATGAGCAAATTCATTCATCACCTAAAATGCTCCTAGAACTATCCAAGGTATTGGAGCTGCAACCACGGCTCCCCCCAAGTAAATGTAAAACAAGCGACATGGTCACTGTCTTTCAGAAATGAATAATCTGTTTGAGGAGCTAAAACAAAACAGCTAAAAAGTGATGCAAAACAGCATATCAAAGGAAGGAAAAAAGATACCTGAACTAGACTGACCTCATGCAAAGGAGAATCTTGAAAGTGGCTTTGATAAGGTTATTTGAGAGTGGGAGGGTAAGAGCATGTGCAAATGCCCAGCATTCAGGAATGAGCTCTGGACATTCAGGAGAGATATCTGTGGAGTCAGGACAAGAGGCTGCACAGAGGAATAGTGAGGGGTGGGAGGGATGGGATTCAGACGTGGAAAGAGCAGGGCCCTGTCAGAGTCACAAGTTGTGGCCTCTGGTTGCAAAGTTCCTTTGTAGGCAAACAACTCACTCATCCTTACTGGGCTTCCTCCCTTCCTCCTCTGCAAAGTAAGATGGACAAGATGATATGAATATTTTGTTCCCAACCCTGACTGCAGAACTGGCCCCTGATGACAGAGAGAAATGAGGACAAGATTTTGAGTTTTTAATAAATCTAAATTTATTAAACATAAAGCTCTGGCTTCGTCCTGCAAGTTTAGCTTTTGTGCTTTTATAGGTACTATGATGTCTCTCCTTTTATGAAAAAGTGGTGACAGTGGATAGATTTTTTTTTAAAAGTCCTCGCTTGGCAAAATAAAAATGTGGTAACATGATATTCTGTATGAGGTCACCTCTCCCAGTTAAAAAAAAATAAAAAAAGTACTAGTTAGTGAAGGACCAGGAATAAAACTTCTGGATGAGAGTATTTGAGTCCCTGTGCAGCTTGAAAAGTACATTATCACGTGCCCAGACCCCAGACCAGTCTCCATGTGTCTGCCAGACATTTTTTTGGAACATAGGCAATACCTACTTGCCCCTTTGTTTAAAAACTATTAGGTGTGAGCACCTTGGGACAGCACCAGTGGCCTTTGTAACCAAGCTCTGTTCACTCAGTCTCCTGCATTTCTCAACATAACCTCCATCCCTGCTGCACCTGACCTCTTTGCCCATCATTGGTCATGAACCCTGCCTTTGCTCATGCCATTCCTCTGCCTGGGCTGCCCTGCCTCCACCTTCCTTGGCAAACTCCTGTGCCCATAGATACCCAATGTCCCACATCACATTTTACTTTGAAATTTTCCTTAATCTGTCCCCACTCCTTCCAGAAAGTTAATTTCTTCTATTCCTATGTTTTCATGATACTTTGCACAGACTTCTACTCCTAAAGTATTTGTTTCTACATCATTCTCACCTCTAGGACTGGGACCAATAGCAATTCATTGTTTCTTACCCACAAATATTTACCAAACTGAAATATACTGTGCTTGATACCATTTTAAAAGAAGTAATGTTTCATATAAACCTGGCATTATAAATGACTAAGCATCTGGCCTGAATCCTGAATATTCAGGAAATCCTCCTCCCACCTACAAATTCCTTCTTCACTGGTTCACTTGTGCCTCAAATTCTCTAAAGTTTAATTCTTTTGCTTAAGGCTTACAACGTAAGAAGTTAATAAAAAGGAGAAAGGAGCCTTTAGGTATATGGGTGGGGTTCTGAGAGGGCCACTGGGAGGAAGCAAGAGCAGTCAGAGCCTCTGAGGATAAAAAGCCTGGTTCACTCTCAGTTACCACGGGTTGTCTGAGGTCTTATGGAGTTCAAGACACTGATTTAAAAAGCCACTTGCTGGTACCCTTCAAGATGTTCAGGATGGGAACTGATGGGGTCAACAGGGCATAGATACCGTTCTCACCGCCCATAGAGAGAGAGAGATGTCTTCCTATTCCAGGAAAAGGCAGTGAAATTCAGGAGCCTGATGGGATGCGCTGGAAATACTCACCGGATTCCAGGGAGAAGGTGAGACGAACGGGTGGAGGGAGTTGGATTGAGGGGTAGGACCCAAGCCTGGGGCTGTGATGCTCAGAGGTTTGACAGGGAGACAGAGCTAGCAGGGCGCGGGTCTGCAGGGGAGGGGGGACAGGCTTGCGTGGGAGGTCAAGGCCTGGGCTTGGCTTTCGGAGGCCAAGGGTACGCGCACCCCAGGGAGGCCCTTGCCTTACAGGGACCTGCTCCTTCTGTCCCCGGGCTGCGAGGACCCTGCACCCTGCCTCTGACTTGGACCTGGGACACGGGGGAAACTTTTCAGACTTGCCTGGTGCCAAGTGGATACTTTGGGAGGATTAGGCAGGCTCCACGGGTGTTCACGGTGGCCGAGGGGGCAGACCCGGCGTGCGGGCGTGTGGGTGTGTGCATGAGCGTGGACCCGGAGCGACACACACACTCACACACACACACTCACACGCCCGCACCCACGCAGGGCCCTCGGCCGCGCAGACCCAGACTCCCTGGACCTTCACCCCCAAGCCGGCTCCTCCCCGGCCGCGCGCCGGGTGCCAAGTCCCCGCCGAAGGCTTCTCACTAACGCAGAGGGCAGGATTCAGGGGGCTTGGGACAAGGAGCCACGGCAGGGGCTCCCCACCACCCGCTGCAGCTGCCGGCGATCCCCCGCCCACCGGGGGAAGGGGATGGGAAGAGAGTGCCCGGGGCTCTTACCGCTCAGGCGGCCGGGTGCGCGCGGGAGCGCCCGCCGGTCCCGCCCCGCCACGTCGGCAGGGCCAGCGGGGACGCGGCCGGAGGGCGGGCGGGGCGGGGCGCGGCGCGGGGTGGGGCGGGCGAGCTGCCCCGCCCACGGCCGGGGGAGAGGGTCCCGCCCTCTGCGACCCCGGCCCCCGGGTCCCCTGGCCCCCGAGGGGCTGCGCGGGGCAGTCCTTCGGGGCAACTTTTCTAGTCTGTGCGCTCGGGTACACGACGGGCTTCGGGTTCGCGGGATCCCCCGCTGTCCCTTTAACACACACCCGGAAAGCCTCGCAGTGCACCCGTAAGGAGTTACCCTGGTTGTGATTTTCTGGTTCTGTGTTGAACTGATTTTCCTGACCTTGTCGGTGGAATGTGCTGTGATTTTAAAAAACAAACAACAACAACAAAATCCCCTCCTGATAGAAGCCCGTTTGGAAATGTGAATCAAACCCCCAAATGCATTAACTTTGGCCTAGAAAGTCCACATTTGTCCTAAGTAAACAAAGGGGGAAACATGGGTGTGCAAGGGTCTTTATTGTGGCTACTTAGGCCAGAGAAAACGGGAAGGCCTGGGGTTGCCCCACTATGAAGGATTGGTGAAATACACTACAGTAACTTCAAACAGTCAGATATGTTGTAGCAGTTAAAACTTATAACAGCATCAAGGAAGTAAGGCCATGCAGTAAGGCCTTCTTCAATGTATGGCTAAATATTAAGTTGGGGGGCAGGGGCTGCAAACATAGTGTATGTCCCATATGAACTATGTTTGTAAATATACATGTAGATATAAAATGTGCATGTATACATGCTGTGTGTGAAAGCCAGGGAAAACAATTTAGAAACAGCGGCTTTCTGAGAGGTTTATTTAAAGCCAGTTTTCTCCTCTTCAACCCTAAACTCTTTTCTTGTAAAAATTATAAATTCAGAATTAAAGAAAAATGCTAAGAGCCTTTCTCTCACCCCTTCAATATCACTACCATTTTTAATAGTGCATGGATCCTACTGTAGTTTTTCTAAGCTTGTATACACATATATATACAAAGACAGTTTTAAAATGGCAAGATATTGACATTTTGTAACTTTTTCCTGCTTATCTATTATTGTCCTCTTCATATGTATCCTAAGATGCCTGTTATATTTTGTAATATGTTTGTATCACAGTTTATTTAGTTATTTCCCTACTGATGAGCAAAGCAGGTCATTTCTAGCTCCTTCCTTATATTTTCCATATAAAATTTTTTAAAAATTAAGCTAATTAATATTTATTCTCTTTATATTCATAGAAAAATTAAAAAGTTACCTTAATGTGATGGGTTTGTGGAAACTGCTTCCAGTTACTGGCGACTTTTTTGAATTAAGCCACTACTTAGAATCCTAATTGTTAACTGACACCTGTTCTTTGGGTTTTCTGCCTCTAAATAGAATAGAGAACATGCTCTGAACCTCCCACTTCAGTTCTGAACCCGTGAGTAATATGGAACTGGGTTGCAAGTGTGACAGGCGGGTTTCTGTTCACCTAGACTGACACATCCATGTCATGATTTCTGCACCTGCCTAGAGATAGCAGACACTTCTGCTACACCTGCCTTACAGCCTGGCCACTGGCCAGAGCCCAGTCACGGGTTCAATTTTTAAAAAATTTTTAGTTGTAGATGAACATACAGTGTCTTCATTTATTTTTATGTGGTGCTGAAGATCAAACCCAGTGCCTCACACATTTGAGGCACGCACTTTACCACTGAGCTATAGCCCCAGTCCCACACGTTCCATTTTTAAAGGGCTGGTTTCCTTTTCTCCTTGACTCAAACCACACCTGTTCAGTAAAGAATATCAGCCAAACAACCCTAGCAACAAGGACTTTTGTTTGTTTGTTTTCTGGTTATTTTGCCAACTGCAAATTATGCCTTTTCACTCAAATTTAGCTGCTTCCAGGCCTACCAGGTTTTATTTCAGATATTTTAATTTTTGCAATTTAAATTTTTGGCTGGGTTATGGCTCAGTGGTAGAGTGCTTGCCTAGCACATGTGAGGTGCTGGGTTCAATCCTCAGCATCACATAAAAAATAAATAAAATAAAGGTATTGTGTTCAACTACAACTAAATATATATATATATATATATATATGTGTGTGTGTGTGTGTGTGTGTGTGTGTGTAAAATTAAATACTTTGGAGTGTTTCAAACAATTGGAAAAGTGAAGGATTATATGAAAAATACTTATTTGTGTAAAAAAAAAGTAGAGAATACTGTGATGATGCTTGAATTTAACAAATTTTTACCTCTTTAATTTAGAACCTTCTTTTAAAAGAAAAACAGGTTGCAGGTATACTCGAAAGCCTGCCCCTTCCATTGTCCACTGTCCTTGAAGGTAACCACTGTCCTGAAGTGGTTGTCTATCCCTTCCCCCCATATTTATATGCATTTACATATTTATATGCATAAATCCTTACCCACAATTGTATGTAGAATTGTTTTTCAATAATTTTTAATTTTACAAATAACATTCTATACATTATGTCTTTAGACTTAACATTATGTTTTAAGAATCACTCATGTTCATACATGTAGCTAGCTCTAGGACGGACATTCATTTCAACATCTTTGTAGGATTCCATTCCATGCCCCAATGTATCCATTTCCAAACCAATGGACATTTAGTGTGTTTCATATTTCACTCAATTACAGATAATGCTGCAGGTACATCTTTGTACATATTTTCTTATATCCCAAGCTAACAATGCAATGGCTGTATCCCTTTACTAGACATTGCCCAGTTGCCCTTCAGTGTGGTTCAATCATTTATTCAATACAGAAACATGTTGATATTACCCAGCCATAAAGAAAAATGAAATTATGGCATTTGCCGGTACATGAATGGAACTGGATACTATCATGCTAAGAGAAATAAGTCAATCCCCTCAAAACAAAGGCTGAATAAGTGTTCTCCCTGATATGTGGATGCTAACACAACAAGGTACTTCAGTAGGGAATTGGATTTATACTTTGAGAAGGGTCTCCTTACAGCTTTTGAGTAGGAACATGCTGTGATTCTTTTGTCTGAGTCTGGTTGGGTTAGGATGAAATGGAGTTGAATGGGTAGAGGTAAGTGTAGAGACAGGGAGGTCAGTTGGGAGGCTAATGCAGTTGTTCATGTGGGAGATAGATGGCTTTAACTACCATAGAAGTAGCATGAGAGGTGTTTTCCTTATGTATATATTTCAAAGAAACTCCAACACAATTTGATCGTAGGTTAGATGTAGACTTTGAGCAAAAGAGATAGGTGCTACTACACCAAGGATTTTGGCCTAAGCTACTGGGATAATAGAAATATCATTTGTGAGATGAAGAAGGAGTTTAAAGTTGTGAGAATTCAATATTCAGGTTAGTGAGAGTTTAGGAAGCAGTTGGATGTAAGAGGAGTTTAGGGAAGAAGTCTGGGCTGGAGACATAATCAGGGAAACATCAACAAATAGATGTTTCGATGCTATGGACCAGGAGGAGAGTGCATGGAGTTAGAGAAAAGATGTCCACAACTGAGCCTTGGATGTTTCATGTCAGTGAAATAAGGAAGACTCAGAAGGAGACTGGGGAGGAGTGCTAGTGAATGTGTAGAGAAATCAGGGATGGGGGGATAGTGGGAAGGGAGAAGATGGGGTCCAAGAAGCGGAGAAAGAAAACTTTTCAAGAACTTTTCAGTGGTGTATAAATGCCTCTGCAGCTCAAATGCAATGAAAATTGAGGATTGAGCGTGGAATTTGGCAATGTGGCAGTCATTGGTGACATTGAAAAGAGCTATTTCTCTTGGGTGGCAGGGAAGGAACCCTGATTGGAGTAGATTTGGAGTAGATTTAAAAGAATGGGGTGGGGCGGATAATTAGAGATGGGGTTAAACAATTCTTTCAGGGAGTTCTGGTGTAAAGAGGGAGCAAGGAAGAGGAGGTTGTGGGTTAAAAAGAGGATTTTTTTTTAAATGAGAGAAATTGTAGCATTACATGCTGATTGGAAACACTACATTAGAGACAAAAAAGGTGTTGAAGAAGAGAGAGGACAGTTATGAGAGTGAGTGCCTTGATTAGATAAGCTAGAGAGCAATCCAGGGCTCAGGGGAAGGATGGGCTCTTGACATAGAGAGTTCATTCAGAAGGACAGATGAAAGTGCAGTTAGAACAAGTGCAGGTGGAGAACAGAGTTTGGGGGAGGGATGTGGACATGTCTGCTGGTGACATTGGTTTTCTTGAGGAAAAGGAAGCATCATGATCTGAGAAGGAGCAAGAGAAGGAGCTATGGGGAGTTGACGAGAGAGGAGGAGGTGTGAGTGGGAGAGGAGAGAGAGGGGATTGGGGGGTGGCAGGAAGGCTGGAAGGTTGCCGTTCCTTCTTGAGGTTGGCACGCAGTCATGCATTGCAGGTGAGACAAGCAGCATGGGTGAGTGTATGTTTCCTCCAACTCTGTTCAGCCACTGGAGCTCAGTGTAGTCCAGAGGAATATTGGACTTAACCTGGGTTGAGAAGAGAGAAAGAAGGTAGCTGAGATCAAATGCAGAGAAATGACTAAAGGGATCAATCAAGCATGATGTTTCAGACCAGTGCAGTGAGTTTGGGGAGCTGCTGGCAAGAGAGAAAAACTCAGAGTGGGACAGTGGCAACTGATTATGGACTGGGTGTAGTCATTGGTCATAA